GCATGATGGAATCCTGTGTCATCTCGGTCCCTCCCGCCTGGCGTGCAACTCATCCCTTTGTCCAGCATCCCCACGCTGTCTGAACACACACCTGTAAGGCCCTTAATAACCACATCAGTTATCAATGCCTGTGTGGATACTGTGGTGCTTGTGTTTAAGTAACCTCTTATTTTACTTAATGATGCCCCAAAAATGCAAGGGTAATGATGCTGGCTTATTGTTATAATTGTTCTATTTTATTATTAGCTACTGTCATTCATCTCTTGCCATCCCTAACTGAGAAATTAAACTTTATCTAGGTAGGTATATAGAGGAAAAAACGGAACCAGTAAGTCTAGTGCTAGCTACAGTTTCAGTTATACACTGAGGGTCTTGGAACATATTCCCCATAGATAAGAGGGAATTGTGATACTAAAATTCAATGAGTTACACACTGGTTTTTTTGTTGTTTTGTTTTGTTTTGTTTTGTTTTTGAGATGGAGTCTTGCTCTGTCACCCAGGCTGGAGTGCAGTGGCCCAATCTTGACTCACTGCAACCTCTGTCTTCCAGACTCAAGCGATTCTCCTGCGTCAGGCTCCTGAGTGGCTGGGGTTACAGGCACCAGTTACCACGCCCAGCTAATTTTTACATTTTTAGTAGAGATGGGGTTTCATTATGTTGGCCAGGCTGGTCTCAAACTTCTGACCTCAAGTGATCCTCCTGCCTTGGCCTCCCAACGTGCTGGGATTACAGGTGTGAGCCACCACATCCGGTGAATTACACACTTCAAATGGTTGACTGTATGGTCTGTGAATTATATCTCATTAAAGCTGCTTTTTTAAAACAAGTTGCAATGTTTACTGCTGTAATTGGTTCATACAGACCACATGATATCATGGAAATGAATGTGGTTGGAAAACACTGCAAAGACAAAAACAATTGTGGCTTTTGATTTTTAATTTGTAAATACCTTTGGTACTTGCTATGTGCCTTCCACCCTAACTGCATGGTGGATTCTCTATTCATTCCAAATCTTCCCAATGTAATAAGGAAAATTCCACTTCTCCTTACAAGCTAACTTCAACAGTCCCTGCAAGCTTAGTCTCATATTACTTACAAAAACATCTTCCCTAAACCTGCCCTGTGATTCCTGCAAATTTTTCTCCTTTCTGAACGGATGTCTCTTTTACCATTGAATTTATCTCACTGCAATGTTCAGAAAGCACCTTCAGGCTTTTGCATTTTAAGAGACAGTTTTTTTCCCCTGCATCTGTGCTTTTGCCCTTGTTGGATCACAGCTAGTTTCTCCCCAGAGGCCAAATCAAATTTCATAAAACAGTTGGGATCTAGATGGAGGCTAACGAAATCCTTGCTTACCCTCTGAGTCCATCCCTGGGTCTCAGCGGGAGCTGACAGGGGCCCCCTGTCTCTTGAAGGTGTAACCCTTGGTGACCACTGTGTTTGTGGCTAGTCCACTTAACTAAGTGGCCACAGAAGCAATGGGCACCCTCCTCTTACTTGTGACCTTGGCTGGGTGCCTCATGCCTGCTCCTGGGTGAACTGTGTGAGTTGCGGGTCTCTCGGGCAGTCTGTCTCCTGTTCTTCAGGGTGAGGGATCCCTAGGTATGAACTCCACCAAGGTGAGTAGATTGTAGGTAAACTGTGCAGTTGCCAAATCCAACTGGGAAAATCCTAATACACGAATCCTTCCAATGCCCTCTTCTCCCATCTGCCTATTAGATTGTATGCTCTGGGGCCTGTTCAAACTGGGTGCCCATCCTTGCCCTCTAATCACTTGCTGTGTCTTTGGCTGAGTTGCTTAACCTCTCTGGGCTTCAGGTTCTCCAAGTACTTAAAAGGGGATAATGATCCTTTTCTTATAATGTGTGATAAAGACAAAATGATTTTTTTTTTTCTTTTGGTGAGACAGAGTCTCACTCACTCTGTTGCCCAGGCTGGAGTGCAGTGGCATGTTCTTAGCTTACTGCAATCTCTGCCTCCCGGGTTCAAGAGAGTCTCCTGCATCAGCCTGCCGAGTAGCTGGGATTACAGGCCTGCACCATCACGCTCAGCTAATTTTTGCATTTTTAGTAGAGACAGGGTTTCATCATTTTGGCCAGGTTGGTCTCCAACTCCTGACCTCTAGTGATCCACCCATCTTGGCCTCCCAAAGTGCTGGGAATAGGCATGACTTCCGCGTCCAGGAAGGATGGAATAAAATTTGTCTGGTATATACTAATGTTAGCTTCCTCTCTCCTATGATCCCAAATGTCCCTCCAGGAAAGCAAGATCTGACCCACAAGGTCCATCCTGGCTGGACTGAGAGCTACGAGGCAGTGGAAAGAGTACTGCACTTGGGGTCAGACCAAGTGACCTAATTTGAAGTCCTAGCTCTGGCTCGTGATCTTGCGCAGACTCATCTAACCCACATCTTCCCATGCCACTGGGGCTGGGGTGAGGTGAGCCGCACGAGGGATTATGGGTAAGAAACTGCTTAGGAATCTGGAAGGCTGCTGGGCACAGTGGCTCACGCCTATAATCCCAGCACTTTGGGAGGCTGAGGTGGGTGGATCACCTGAGATCAGCAGTTCGAAACCAGCCTGGCCAATATGGTGAAACCCTGTCTCCAGTAAAAATACAAAAATTAGCCAGCCGTGGTGGCAGGTGCCTGTAATCCCAGTTACTCAGGAAGCTGAGGCAGGAGAATCACCTGAACCTGGGAGGTGGAGTTTATTACAACAGAGTAAGTGAGACTTTGTCTCAAAAAAAAATTTTCATTCCATCCTCATCACATCTTATGAGAAAAGGATCATTATCCCCTTTTCACGGTTGCAATGAGCCAAGATCACAGCATTGCGCTCCAGCCTGGGTGACAGAGTAGGACTCTGTCTCAAAAAAAAAAAAAAAAAGAAATCTGGAAGTGGCTGTGTGGCTGGGAAGGTCTACTGTCCCGCCTGCCCTCCCAGAGACTCTGTGGCCCAACACCCCTCATCCCGCACTTCACCCCCAGTTGCTCCTCACAGGGCCCCACACCCAGTTCCTCAGACTCACTGCTCACAGGCGAGCAGGCTCCAGGACCCTCCCTCTCTGCTGCCCCATTTACCTTCCTTTCTCTACACCCTCCCAGCAGATCCAGCAGATCCTTTCCTAGCCCAAAGCAGCTTTGAAGAGCCATCGTGAGCTAATGGTCGGAGCTGATAGTCTCCTATCCTCGACTTGCATGCAGTGAGTATGGTGCTCCCACAGGACTGGGAGGGGCCTCTTCATCATTCGTCACTCGTCACTCGGCTGCTTAGAGCTGGGGGTGCTGGGGCAAGTTCCTTTCACCCTCTGTGCTTCTACCGCCTCATCTGTAAGTCGACAATGACAATAGCACCTACCTTGTAAGTGTCTGGGTAGATTAAACAAGCGTCACGTGTAAAGACGTTAGCTCAGAGTCCAGCACGTAGTTAGTATTATTGTTGCTTATTTATTCAGCTGTTCCCTATGCAGTTACTCACAGGACACCTCTCCGCTGCAGCTAGGGGCACAGTGAATCAGACGGAGATCTCACCCGCGTGGAGTTCTCAGTCCAGGAGGCAGGCAGACAAGACCACAGTCGCAAGGTGATAACAGTGGGTGGGTGTTGTGGGAGTCACTGCACAAAGTGATAAGAGGAAAAGGGTGAGGTGGAAGGATCACTGGAGCCCAGGAAGTCGAGGCTGCAGTGAGCCAAGACGGTGCCACTGCACTCCAGCCTGACGACAGAATGAGACCCTGTCTCAAAAATAATAATGGTAAAATAAAATTTCAATAAAGAGAGGCCTAACACATCAAGCTCTATAAACATGGACTAGCCAGGTCTGTTGCCCAGGATCCTTCTGTGTTCCGCCCTCTGGCTACTGGATTCTTTTTTCTGGTGGAAGTCTGCAGGAGGCGCTAACTCTTCTGGGGTGGTCAGGAGAAGCCTGCCAGAGGGAGAACGTTTAGCTTGGCCTCGGAGGTATAGGAGCTCACTGCTAGTGGGGAAGAGACTGGAAGAGAGCAGTTCTGGGATGGAATAGCACAGCAAAGGCACAGAGGCTGGGAGAGTGGGGCCTGCCTGATCCCCTCCCACTCATCTGTAGCCTGCCCCTGGGGTCCTACTGGGAGCATCTGTGACTCTCACGCTGCAGGTGTCAGTCAGCCTGAGCCAGGAGCAGGCCACAGGTGTCAACACCCCAGGAACTGCCCTGAGCCAAGTGAGTGGGAGATGGGAGGTAAATACTTCAGCATCCTCTGTTCTCCCGGTGGGACAACTGGAAGCTGTGCTTTTTCCCATTTCCCGGAGGACCCCAGCAGGATGGAGCCCCAGGTGCTCAGCACAGTGGCCATCCTTGAACGCACTCTGTGTTAACGTCCACCTGGGACAGGCTGTTTGGACTCCATCCTTTTTCCAGGGTCTGCTTCCTGGCAAACCTGTGAACCCAGCCTAACACATCAAGCTCTGCAAGCATGGACTAGGCAGGTCAGTTGTCCAGGATCCTTCTGTGTTCCATCCTTCTGGCTACGGGATTTGTTTTTCTGGTGGTTACTGAGCATCCATCCATGGCCAGCCCCGGATTAGACACTGAGATTCAAAGAAGGGGAGAAAATAGTCCCACAAGGAGCTGTTGGAGGAGACAAGACATATCTGGGACAAAGAGAATACTGAAAAAACCGGAAAGATGGAGTTCGCTTGGGGAAGAATAAGAAAGTTGGTGCGTGAGATCCTAGGAGATTGCCACAGAGAGAAGTAGGGAGTGGAAGCTGTAAGGACAAATGGAGGGTCTTGCTCTGTCGCCCCAGCTGGAGTGCAATGGCATAATCTCGGCTCACTGCAACCTCTGCCTCCCGGGTCCGAGTGATACTTGTGCCTCAGCCTCCTAAGTAGCTGGGATTACAGGTGTGTGCCACCACGCCAGGCTAATTTTTGTATTTTTAGCAGAGACAGAGTTTTACCATGTTGACCAGGCCAGTCTCGACCTCCTGGCCTCAAGTAATTCTCCTGCCTCGGCCTCCCAAAGTGCTAGGATTATAGGCGTGAGCCACCACCCTGGCCTGAGGCTGCATGTGGAGTCTGAAGCCTGGAGTGCCTCTTGTGGCTGCTTCTCAGTGGGGTGCCATAGAAGGGTTTTGGGATAGGAACAGCTGGTGTGTTGGAAGGGCTCTGGGCTCAAATGGAGGATGACAGGACAGGGCGAGGCCCAAGTCAGGGAGGCCCAGGAGCAGGCTGTTGGAGGAGTCTCGGCCGGGCCTGCTGTGGTTCTGTAACTTCAGCTCAGCCCTGGCTCAGCCAGCCCAGGCTCCTCCAAGACCTCCCCCCTGCAGACTCTGGAGGGCTGTCTTCTCATAAGTGCTTGGGACGCTTCCTGCCTTCCCACCCTTCCTTTCAGACCCACTTCCTGCTTGGCCTCCAAGCCTATTCTTCCTCTTACCTTCTCCCATTATCTCTGACTTCAGAATGTTTGCTTTGGCTCCCACTGTCTCCCCTCTGCTCTCTCCTGCGGTTAGTGTTGGATACTCAGCAAAATCTCTCCTTCCTACAAGCCAGGGCAGACCCATCGGGGCAGGGATTGTCTTCTTTCTACTTTAAGTAAACGGAATTGGAGCAACCTTGGCCTTGGAAGACAGATTTTGTCTTCTAACGACTTTCCTTCAAAACCACAAATGCATTTTGTCTCGATTTGAGGTGGTTCTTGCCTCTCATCTCAGCAACCTCAGGGTGAGCATGAAGCAGCCTCTGGCAGCCTGACGATTTCACAGCGGATGCTGCGCTTTTGTGAAAAGTCGATTTCTCTGCAAACCAGCCGAGAGGGCAAAGAGTGCGGTGTTCCTTCCATTCAACAGATCTCTATGAGCCAGGCCTCGAGCTGTGTTATGGGGAGTCACTGAATAAGGCATCTGCTCTCCAGGCCCGCATGGCCTGATGGAGGAGATGAACAAGGAGACTGTCCGCATGAAAGCTTGTACAAAGTACCATGTGGTCTCAGTGGAGGTGCAACGCCGTCCACGCTGACCTTGCATGTGCAAAGCATCAGAGCTGTGCAACCTTGGGCAAGTTATTGAACCTCCCCCTGCCTCAGTGTCCTCAGCTATGAAATAGGCATAATGAGAGTTTTTCTCTTCTAGGCTCGATGTGGGGATTACATAAGACACACAGGAAGTGCTTAGCATAGAATCTGGACAAGGAAATGCTCGCTATTCTCTCTTTTAAAAACGTTCTCGGCCGGGCCCGGTGGCTCATGCCTGTAATCCCAGTACTTTGGGAGGCCGAGGCGGGTGGATCACTAGGTCAAGAGATCGAGACCATCCTGGTCAACATGGTGAAACCCCATCTCTGCTAAAAATACAAAAAATCAGCTGGGCATGGTGGCGCATGCCTGTAATCCCAGCTACTCAGGAGGCTGAGGCAGGAGAATTGCCTGAACCCAGGACGCGGAGGTTGCAGTGAGCCGAGATTGTGCCATTGCACTCCAGCCTGGGTAACAAGAGTGAAACTCCGTCTCAAAAAAAAAAAAAAAAAAGTTCTCCTGTGATCGGGATTTTCAGGTTCCCCAGTGGGGATGTGTGGAAAAAACAAAACAAAACAAAACATTCTCCCAGCACTTTGGAAGGCCAAGGTGGGCAGATCACTTGTGGTCAGGAGTTCGAGACCAGCCTGGCCAACATGGTGAAATCCTGTTTCTACTAAAATGCAAAAATTAGCCGGGTGTGGTGACAGGTGCCTGTAGTCCCAGCTACTCAGGAGACAAAGGCAAGAGAATCGCTTGAACCCAGGAGGCGGAGGTTGCAGTGAGCTGAGATCACACCACTGCACTCCACCCTGGGTGACAGAGTGAGACTGGGTCTCAAAAACAAAAAACAAAACATTCTCCTATCATTTAAATTCTTCCTAAAAGTATACAATTCAGTGGTTTTTATTCTATTTGCAAGGTTATGCATCATCACCACTATTTCCAGAACATTTTCAATACCCCAAAAGAACCTTGTACCCATTATGTACCCCTTCCCTCAACTCCCCCTGCTCTTACTTTCCATCTCTATGGATTGACCTATTCTGGACACTTGATAAAAATGGAATCATACAGTGTGTGATCTATTGTACCTACCTTCTGTTTTCAAGATTCTTCCATGTCATAACACTCATCAGTACTTCACTCTTTTTTTACTGCTGAATCATACTCTAGTCTATGGATATACCACGTTTTGTGTATTCATTCATTGGTTAATGGTCATTTGGGTTATTTCCACTTTTTGATTTCTATGAATAATACTGCTATGAACATTCATGTAAAAGTTTTTGTGTGAGCATACTTTCATTTCTGTTGGGTGTATACCTAGGAGTGTAACTGCTGGGTCATACGGTGATGCCATGTTTAACTTTTAGATGAACTGCCAGACTGTTCTCCAAAGTCACACACCTACTTTTTTTTTTTTTTTTTTTTTGAGACAAGGTCTTACTCTACTACCCAGGCTGCAGCGTGCAGTGGCACAATCACAGCTCACTGCAGCCTCAACCTCTTGGCTTCCAGCAATCCTCCAGCCTCAGCCTCCAGAGTAGCTGGAACTATAGGCACATACCAACACGCCTGGCTAATTTTTGGTATTTTCCGTAGAGACGGGGTTTTGCCATGTTGTTCTAGCTGGTCTCAAACTTCTGGGTTCAAGTGACTGCCGTGGCTTCCCAAAGTGCTGGGATTACAGCTACCGAGTCCGGCTGACACCAGCTACTCTTGACTCTGTTTCTCAAAACACTCCCAGACACCACTGCTCCACAGCCCCAGTGGGGCTATTGCAGTGCCAAAACAGAAATGATGTATCTGGAGCCCCAGGGCAAGTCAGCGGCAAACCAGGACCTAAGCCAAAATCTTTGGGGCCCATCACCTTGCTGCCTTAGGCACCTGGACTTTTTAAATTACATCCTGGATACATGAGACATGGTATGAGGCATTGCCCATGAGCATGGCAGCCCAGTGTCCAGCAGGTGAACGGTGACCACCCTGGCCTATCTGAGCCTCCCAAACACCAGAGGCCCTGAGTCCCCTCCTCCACCCCTGTTGGCACACACAACCCTATGTGGTCCCTGAGCTCTAGGCCAAAGGACAATGGCAGATATGATCATTTAAATGGCTACACTGTCCCAGATGGGTGGGTAGTGTTTCTAGGGTGGAGGGGAGCCCTGGGAAGCTGCCTTCCCAGCCTGCACTTCTCCTGCCAGAATTAGAGCCCAGCCTTAGATCCCTGCCTCCCTGGTGGAGGACCTAGCCCCATTCCTCACCCACATCAGATTCTCACCTTCTTGTGACCTTCCTGTTCACCCAGTTCCTTACCCAGACCAGCATCTTCTCACTGCAAGCTCTCAGGCCCCTCTGATGCTGTGTTAAAATGACCTTGAACTGAGACCTAACCTTGCTGAAACCCAGTTTTCTCATGTTCCCTGCCTATCCCATAGGGTGGTTGTAGAAGCAGCACAGGGTGGGGATTCGGGGCATGAGACTGGCAGTCAAACGAGGGTTGATTTGAAACGAGTTACCACCACTTCCTTAGTAGCTCTGTGACCTGGGACAACTCACTTTATCCCTCTGAGCCTCTCTTTCATTCTCTGAGAAACGCAGACCCACATAAAGAGTACAGCAGCTGGCACAGAAAAAGGACTCAATGATAGCTGTGGTTATTGTTTTTACAGAGTAAAGGAGATGGGCATGAAAAGTGCCTACCATATAGCAGGTGCTTAGCACACAAGAGCTATGGTTTTTATCATCCCCTGTCTTTGTGTGGGTGAGTGGCACAGGGTTTGAGGGCTTGGGGGAGATGGCTTTGATTATCACCCAGAGCATCCGCGCAACCAGAAAGTGAACTCCAAGCACATGCAGACCAGTGGTCAGGGCAAGGGGAGCCAAGGGTGCGGGAAGCATTGGGACAGAGCCAACACTTCTGTAAGCTGAGTATGAAGAACAGAGTGAAACCAGTTGAGTGGGAAAGTCTCCAGTGAGCGCCAGAGGCAGGGGTTTCTGAGGGCTGCAAGGCTTTTAGGCACTCAAGTACCTGCTTTGTAAGCAGCCAGAGCTATTTAAAGAAACGTACTGAGCAGCGGCTTTGGGGATGCCTTAAGCTTCCTGGGCAGATAAGCCATGTCCATGTCCCAGCAGGCTTTGGCAGTAAGTATCACATGACTGTGCAAACAGACAGAAAGCTGAATGTGAGCTAGGAAGCCCAGAAGCCAACAGAGATCATGGCAGACTTCCTGGAGGAGCTGGCTTTATAGAATGCTGAGGTAACCATTGATAGGTCATTGATCTGAGAGGGAAGAAGGCACATAGGCAAGACTACAAAACTTGCTTCAGGGGGAGGAGCAAGAAGATGCATCTTCTTGAAAACATCAATACAATTTTTGTCTTATTCAAAGGGATGCATTTTCATTGTAAGAAATTTAACAGTAAGAAGTTGTGAAAAGGAGAAAATGAAAAAAACAATCTCCTATATTCTCAGTCTCTAGGGGTAACTAGTATGAAGATTTGGGAGTGCTTTCTTCTATGTTTTAAAAAAACATATTACGTATGTTTTTCTTTTTGTTTGGTTTTGTTTTGCTTGCTTTGCTTTGGTTTTGTTGTTGTTTTTTTGAAACAGGATCTCTCTGTCACCCAGACTAGAGTGCAGGGGCGTGATCTTGGCTCACTGCAACCTCTGCCTCCTGGGTTCAAGGGATTCTCCTGCCTCAGCCTCCTGAGTAGCTGGGATTACAGACACGTGCCACCACGCCTAATTTTTGTATTTTTGGTAGAGATGGGTTTTCACCATGTTGGCCAGGGTGGTCTTGAACTCCCAACCTCAAGTGATCTGCCCACCTCGGCCTCCCAAAGTGCTGTGATTGCAGGCGTGAGCCACTGCACCTGGCCTTTTTTTTTTTTTTTTTTTTTTAAAGAAACAAAAATAGACTCATATAGTGTGGACTGTTTGTGACCTACTTTTTTTTTTTCTTTTCCCAGAGACAGAGTTTTACTTTGTCACCCAGACCAGAGTGCAGTGCCGCGATCATAGCTCACTGCAACCTCAAACGCCTGAGCTCAAGTGATCCTCCTGCCTCGGCCTCCCAAATTACTAGGATTATAGGCATGTGCCACTGCACTAGGCCTGTTTGTGACCTACTTTTAAAAATGTATCATGAACTGTGTTCCCTGCCATTAAATATGCCTTTTCACCACTACTTAATGACTTTATAGTATTCTCTCATATGAATGGAACATAATTTATTTAAGTAATTTTCTATTCTTGGATACTTAAGTGGTTTCCAATTTTTCAGTATTGTAAGCATCTTCTTAAATGAATATCCTTGTAGCTGAAACTCTGTGCACATCCTTAATTATGTCCTTGGGATACATTTCTAGAAAAGGAATGTTAGGATAAAGGATATGCAGATTTTAAAGAATCTTAATACATTATTGTCAAATTGCTCCCCAGAAAGTTTGTATGGATTTATTCTCTCACTAGCAGATTATAGGGTGCTATTTTCTTAGCATTTGTACTACCATTGGCTATGGTCTTTTCTCATCATGAATTTGATACATTAAAGACCAGAATTCATGAATTCAAAGTTCCTGAAATGTAAAATGGAAACAATAATAATGATATGTATCATGGGTCTGTTGTGACAATCAAACCACATAATAGATAGAATATGCTTAAAAGGAAAACAGAATTTGGAAGCCTTGTGAGTCAAACTTGAAAAGATGAGATAGTTGGGAACCAGCTTTATAAAGTTCTTTGTTTATTTTCTCTTTAACTTCAAAATTAATAAATGCTTGTAAAAATTGAAACAATCCATAGTTGTGAGAATAAACAACCAAAGTATTCCTTTGATTCTCTCACAATGTCTTCCCTAGAAGTTGGATGTGTATCCTACCAGATCTTTCTTTCTAGCTTTGCAAACTGTGTGTGTATATGTGTGTGTGTATTTATATACAAAGTTTTGTTGTTTTACAAAATGGAATCCTGTATCGAATGTCTCTCTCAGAACATATGAATCTACCTTATTCTTTATCATTTCCATGGATTCTGTAGTCGGATAAGCTGCATTGCTTAATCTTACCCCAAGCAAAGAAGTAACAACACATCATCATACGCATTTCCTTGCATATTTGAGCTGGTATTTCTGTAGCTTGGATCCTAGCAGTAGAATGCTAGGTCAAAGTGGGTACACATTGTCATACTATCACATTGCTCTTCAAAGAGATTGCACTAATTTATTCTCCCAGCATCAGGGCGAGAGTGTGTGGAGGGCTGGGAACTGCAGACTCAGGGGAGTGAGGGCAGCCCTTCAGTGCTTTTGCCTGGGTCAAAAAATAGCCCCTATCTCCCCTTTTCTCTTCTAACCCTAAAATTTCTGAAAGAAACCTGAAGTGAAGCCCAGACCTGTCTCCATCATAAGCTTCTTGCTGTCCTCCACTGTGAGGCAAACCACAAAGGAATCTTTTTCTTGTTAATTAACTGGAGTTTTATTAAACACCTTAACAGCTAGCCAACTGCTCTGACCCAGCCATTCCTGGGAGACATTTTGATGAGGAATTTTGTGTT